CAGCCCCCCTGCTGCCCCCCCGCTCCCTGCAGCCGAGCCCCCCTGCTGACCCCCCTGCTCCCCGCAGCCCAGCGCCCCCTGCTGCCCCCCCGCTCCCCGCAGCCCAGCGCCCCCTGCTGCCCCCCCGCTCCCCGCAGCCCAGCGCCCCCTGCTGCCCCCCCGCTCCCCGCAGCCCAGCGCCCCCTGTTGCCCCCCTGCTCCCCGCAGCCCAGCGCCCCCTGCTGACCCCACCCGCTCCTGCTGCCAGGCCACACTGGGGCACACACCTCCCCCGTTGCGGTAGCAGAGGTAGGGGAAGCGCCACACGTTGCCCAGCCCCACGGCGTAGCCCACGCTCGTCAGCACAAACTCAATCTGGTTCGTCCAGTTGCCCCGTTTCACGTTCTCGTCTCGCTTGGTCGCCTCTCCGGGGACGGCGCCATTCTGCGGAGAGAGGGGGCAGGTGCCATTAGCAATGGGGTGCCCCCCGCCCCCCAGGGCCCTGCCCAGCTGGAAAGAGCCCCCCCCCATGGGAGAAAATGGAGGAGGGGAGATACTGTGTTATGCAGCCAGCTCCCCCCCGATTCCGGCCCCCATGGCTGCTCCAATCCTCCTCCCCAGATGCTGGGGGCCCCCAGCCCTGCAGGGAAGGGGGAGGAGGACCCCGCCTCTGCAGGGAGGGGGGAGGGGAAGGGGGCCCCCAGCCCTGCAGGGAGGAGGAGGGGGAGGGGAAGGGGGCCCCCAGCCCTGCAGGGAGGCAGAGGGGAAGGAGGAGGGGGACTCCATCCCTGCAGGGAGGAGGAGGGGAAGGGGACCCCGGCCCTGCAGGGGGAGGTGGCAGTGGCCCCCCAGCTTTGCCCTCTCCCCCCCCCCCGCCCGGCTGCAGGGAAGCGGGAGGCTGCGGCCCATACAAAGCAGGGCTGAGCGGAGGCAGCACAAAGCCGCCTCTGTTCCCACCGCCCCCCCGCCCGGCCTGCGGGGCCGCTGGGCAGCCGGAGCCTCGCACTGCGAGCCTGGAGCCGCGGGGGGAGGGGATTGACCCCCCCAGCCCCCTCACCTCCCCTGGGGGCCAAAGTGACACCCCCACGGGGGAGGGCGCCCGGGGGGGGGAAGCTGGCCCTGGGGAGTTGGGGGGGCCAGGACTCCTGGGTTCCCACCCCAGCTCAGGGAGCGGGATCTAGGGCAGGGGCTGATGTGTCTGGCGCTCCCCAAGTTACACCTCACTTAAAAACCCCTTGATCCAAACTCAGACCTAAACTAGAGAAGTGCCCGGCCGCTGGTCCTGGGCGATTCCTCTGAATCAGGAGAAATCAGTGGGTTGGAATATTCCACTGGCCTTGTGTGTCCGTGTGTAGTACACACAGCCATGTACACAACTCCTGACTCGGCTAGTGCTTCTCATGCCGCCCAGGCACATCCCTACCCCCCGGAGGAGCTCAGGCCCCCGGGGTACCCGCACCCCAGGCCGAGACCCACTGCGCTCCCCCTTCCTTCTCCGGCCCAGTCGGCAGGGCCGTGGGTCTCAACCGGGTGGGGTACAGAGTCGCTTGCTTTTATAGTTGCAGGGTCAGATGGAGGAGGGCTGGTGGCTGAGACACTGCGTCCAGGGCTGATTTTGGGAGCAAGGCGCTTCTAAGGGAGGTGAAACTTGGGGTCCGCAGGACAAGGCAGCTCCCTGCCAGGGGTCCCCTGAGAACAGCTGCCATACAGCGTGGGTTAGCTGGTGGAACGGGGGGGATGAGGTGTGTGTTGGGGTGACAGAGGGCCCAGAGTCATCACAGTTCACGCTCACGCACAGCACAGGGAGGGGCGGACCCCCCTCTCCAGGGCAGGGTCCGGAAGCCGACCTCCGGCCGGGAGGGTCAGGATGGGCCCTGGGTGGGGGATCTGCTGCTGTGGGGTTCCTGCTCCCCCATCCACACGTGGTGCTGGGCATTACCCGCGGGACAAGGGGCTGGATGGGCCACGGGCGAGTGTGCCCAGTGAGCCCTGTGGGCCAACGCTCAGAGCCCACCGGGACGGGGCTGCGGGTGTCCTGGCGAGGCAGGGTCTGGCACCCAGCCCACACCACAGCTCCCTGCCGGGAGGGGCACCTGCATTCTAGGTCACCCCAGGGACCACCAGAGGGGAGACCAGAACGGCTCCTGGGGGGTGACAAAATCCGTGGGGGAGCTCTAGGCCGCCCTGCGAGCCCCCCCCCTGCGGTGAGAGACGTCCCTGGCACCTCCCGCCCAGTGAATGCACAGCGGAGACTACAGGGGCCCGCCCAGCTGGGCCCTGCCCAGCCCCACGACACCGAGTGCTCAGTGCCAGGGTGGGAGCTGGGCGCCCGATGCCAGGTGGGCACTTCCAGCACAGGCCAGAACCAGCTCGTTCTCTGGGGGCAAGAACGGCGCTTTGTCCTGCGGGGCGGCCGGTGTTGGCACCGGGCTTGGCGCACAATGCAGCCTCACACCAGGGCACAACAAAGGAGCGGCTGCGGATGGCGGCAGCCCAGGGCCCAGCACCCCTGGCCCTGGGCAAGGGCACCCGCACCGTGACCTCGCCCCCAGCCAGGCTGGCACAGGGCCCCCCAGATCCCAGCCCCCCGGTGCCCTCACTCCCCATGGCTGGACCTGCCCCGTGTCCCCTGGCCCAGGCGGAACTGATTCGCCTCCAAGGGCGCGAGGGAGCCCCTCCCCTCCCCGGGTTGTTGGGAGCAGAGCCCCCAGCTCCGGTGAACCCCCTCCTGCCCACTGGCTGCGCCCCTCTGTCCTGCAAACAGGATCCCCCTCCAGAGACACAGAGCCACCGCGCCCACCTCCTGCTCCCCACCCGCCCCCGGCTCTGCCCCTGCGGAGCGGCCCCCAGCCCAGCCACCCCCCGCGGAGCCCAGCCAGATACGGGGAGGGGGCTCCCAGGCTGGGCCTGGCAGTGACCCCGGGCCAGCGCCCCCCATGCCCGGCTGGGCAGGGAGACGGCACCCCAGGGCTTTAGGGGACCTGTCCACATCTCCTTGCCCTGGGGGCTCCAGGCGAGCTCTCGGCCCTGCTCTGGGAACTGAGGGGACGCCGGCCGTTCCCCCCACACTACGGGTGAGCCTCCCGCTCGCTAACAGCTGCTGCGAGCGCCCTGCCAATGCAGCCGTCGCTTCGGATCGGCCTCAGGCGCGTGGGGCGCCGGACCGTGTCATTCCATTAGTGCCCGGAGCAGCCGGGCGGCTGCAGCCACTTCTCCCGCACGGCTCGGCCAAGCCCAGCATCTGCTGAGAGCCAACGCCACACATGCCAAGCCGCTGAGAGCTGCCCAGCCTGGACGGGATGTCCTACTCAGAAAGCAAGCCACAGCCCCATTGAGCCAGTGGGGATCCCGGCCCCACGGCTGTGAATGGGGGTCCCCCAGCTCACAGCGCATGGGTGGGGACAGGCTCTTTGGGCCTCTCTTCTCCCAGCCTGCCCCATTCCCAGCAGGCCCCAGTCCCTGCCCTGCCACATGCAGCCATGGGGCCCAGGGCGGCTCTCCAGCCCCACACACCGCTAGGCTGCCAGCCCATGCCTCGCTCTGTCGCTCCTAGAGCCTTCCGTGCTGACCCACGGGGGAGCCTGGCCGGGGAGGGGGGGCAGGAAGTGACCCCAACCCCCCAGGAGCACCGTGCCTGCTGGCAAGCTCGAGGCACGAGGCTGGGGCCCCGGCCGGCTGCATGTGACGGCGCCACACAGCTGCGTGACCCATTACCGGGCTTACATGCCTGGGTGCCCGGCCGGCGTGGGCACGAGGTGCACAATTGCTCAGGCATTTCAGCACGGAGCTGTGGGCTCCTGATGGAGCGCAGCGCCCGGCTTGGGGAACAGCTGTCCACGTCTCTCCTGCAGCCCTCGCAGTCCCCCTCCATCCCGCAGGCCCTTTCCTCTGCTCTGCCCTGCCCGGGCCCCTCTCGCCTCCACAGGCAGGGAGCCAGGGGCTGGCACGTGCGGCAAGTGGGTCTCACTGGGTGCTGCCAGCCTCTCTGCGAGATGGGGCGTGCTGGCCCTGACCCCTTTGACGGGGGAGGAGGCGCGGGGGGATGGGGGGGTGCAGCCCACGTGCGCAGGCTAATTGCCTGGTTGACTTGCAGAGCAGTGGAAGCAGCGCTAACGAGGCTGGCAGCCGTTCAGCCTAATCAGTAGCAGCGTGCGTGGGCCAGGGGCCGGGCGCTGCCCTCGCGAGGGGCTGGGTTCAGACCCAGGCGATGACCCTGGGGGCAGCCGTGCCATGGGAGTGCCCGGTGCATGGCATGTGGGGACCTGGCTCCATGGGTGGCACCTTGCAGCACTAAGGGGGGAGGAGGCAAAGCAGCCTGTGGGGCCAGAGCCAGCGCCCCGGCCCCCTGCCATGAGGCCCTATCTGCCCCCTGCCCTGGCAGACAGGGCCCCCAAGCTCTGCTCCCCGGGGGAGGGGCCCAGAGCCCAAGTCCTGGAGGGCATGATGGTGCCACAGTCATGCCCAGCCAATGAGATGCAGTGGGACACCAGGGCTGTGCATACGGCCCTCACCCTGCCTTGGACCTGCCTTGGCCTGGGACAGGTGCCTGAGCCCCCTGGGAGAAGCCCTGCCCCGGGAGAGGTGCACCAACGCCTGCCGTGAGCCCAGCCGCGGGCAGTCCCTGTGCGAGGCCAGGCATACTGGACAGGGGCACGCTGCTGCCCGCGCTCCAGGGAGCACTGCAGCCCATCCCGGTGCTGAGATGAACCCACTGTCAGCACCCACTGCCCTGCACCCCCACTGCACGGCTCCAGCGCCCCCGGGCCCCCCGGCTGGCTCCCCAGCTCGGTCCGCGTCGCTCCCGCAGCCAGCCATGGACAGGCACCCGCCCGCCTCACCCCCCAGCCTGCACGGACGCAGGTGCCCACTGCCCCCGGCCAGTTCAGCCCTGAAGCAAACACAGCCACAACACAGTCCCCACTGGGAACCCAGCAACCAGCATAACCAGAGCCACTGCACCCCGTTGTCCCTGGCACCAGCCCGGCTCGAAGGTGGCTCTGCTCTGGGCCTCGCTCACAGCCAGGCCCCTTGGACTGAGTCCGGCTTACGGCAGTGGGTGCACACACATGTGCATGTGCACACATGCAGGGACACTCACGAGCACACACACACATGCACACTCACATGTGCACACACATACACACATGTGCACACACACACACTCACATGTGCACACACTCACACGCACACACACATGTGCACGCACAAACACGTACACACACGTGTGCACACACACGCACATTTGCATGTATACACACATGTGCATGCACACTCACATGCTTACACACACACACATGCACTGGTGCAGGTACACACACACAGGCGCCAGCTCATCCCAGCCCTTTGCCCTCCCTGGTGCCAGAGCCTTGTCCTGCCCGTGAGCCCCAGTCACACCGACGCTGGTGGGGTGGGCCAGGGCCGTGCACCCTCCCGCAGGCCCCGGA